AACGAGCGACTGCCCAGCACCGACCAGAAAGCCGCACGGGGTGCCCACGTGCCCACACCACCCGCTGCTCCCCAGCCTTCGGGGCCCAGGAGGTGGCCGCAGGGGGGCTCCGCTCTCTTCCGCCGACCGCCCGTCAGCCCCTGGTGTGCCCTGTGCAGCCACATGGACCCCCAGCTCCAGTGCCACCAGGCCCCTGGGTCCCCGAGCCCGCCCCTCATCCCGCACAGACCTGCTTGGGCACAGCCTCCCCAAATCCTGGTTCCTCCTCACCTGTTACACTTGTCAGGTTTTATGCCACAAAAACAACTCTAGTTACCAAAGTGAAAGAGAAGTCTTGATGGGATCTGGGGGGTCACAGAATGGACCGGAGAACTGGGGGGGTCTCATGGTGACAGACTGGACAGAGCTCTTGACTCAGAGAACAGAGACGACAGTCTCCTGTGCGCCCAGCGAGGGTCGTGACTGAGCGCAGGGCCAAGGGAGACCACGGGGAAGAGCTTCTGAGGGGAGACAGGCACCCGACTGGCTGTCCCCCCACCCACTGCAGCCCAGTAACAAGACATAAATGACACCCCCTAAGGATACAAGGGGCTCCTGCAGGAGGAACAATGCTGGCCTGGGTTCAGAAATGCTCACGGCCCCTTCGGATGGAGCCGCTGTGGTTCATTATTCATTCACATTTCGTCTTCCTTGTCAATGGCCCCTGCCCGGCTTGTCTCTGTGTCACACCCCCAAGAAAACGATCTTCTCTGAGGAAGTTTACAGTCGTTCACGTGGAAATTAACACAATGATGAATAAGCAGCAATACAGGAATAAACTGTGTATCGTGCACGCCCCACTGTGCAGCACCCTGGCCCTGCCCGTGCACACAAGGGAGACACATGTCTGCGCAGTTACACGCACCCCCGGGGGGAGGACACATTGTAACAGCTCGGCCCGGGGAGCAGGCCGTCCGCTCGGGGGTCGGCGCCCGCCGCGGGTCTCCCCGCTCGCTGGCTTCGCGGTGCCCCGGGCGGAGCCCGTGGTCGGACGGGTCCCGCCGGAGGGCCGGCTGTCGTGACCACGGCGCCCGTGAAGGGCCGGCTCTGCCACAGAATCTACGGGGCCTTGGAGGACCGTCGGCCGTTCTCTCCATCGTACAACGCCGCGCGGGCGGCCAGCTCGGCGGGGGACCCGTGACCCCACGGCCGCGAACAGCTGCGTTTCGGGGAAGCTGGTCCAACGGGGTCCGCGTCGCCTGGGAAACCCGTGCGCGTGACCCCGGCGCGGCCCGTCTCCTGGGCCCCGGCCCGGCCCCACTCGCAGCCTCGTCAGGCCTTGACCAGCGTCACGCAGTCCACGCCCGGAACCTCCCACGGTCCACACCACGGCCGAGGCCCAGCCCAGGCTGCCCCAGGCCACCACGGCGCCCCACACGCCCCGGGGACCCGGGGGCGCAGAGGCGGAGGACTCCCCGATCCTGTGGCCGGCTCAGAGGTGCCGCCCCCGCGCCCTCTGCTGAGCCGCAGCCCAGGCTCCGCCGGACGGACGGGCGAGCTCGCCGCTGGGGGCCCGAGCTGGGCGGGAGCAGAGGCCTGGGGCGCCCACCCCTGCCGCCAGCGCCCTGGGTTACGCGGGGGACCGGACGTGCTCACCCAGGACGGGCTGTGCGCCCGGGAGGTTGTTCGTCCCACGGCAGCCACAGCACAGGTTCCCGCGAGCTTCCCTCAGGTCCCGCCAGGTCCCGCGAGGTCCCGCGAGGTTCCCATGAGGTTCCCCCAGAGGTCCCGCGAGATCCCGCGAGGTTCCCATGAGGTTCCCCCCGAGGTCCCGCGAAGTCCTGCGAGGTTCCCATGAGGTTCCCCCCAGGTCCCGCGAGATTCCGTGAGTTTTCCGCGAGGTTCCCCCCACCCAGGTCCCGTGAGATCCCGCGAGGTTCCCATGAGGTTCCCCCGAGGTCCCGCGAGGTTCCCATGAGGTTCCCCCCGAGGTCCCGCGAGGTTCCCATGAGGTTCCCGCGAGGTCCCGCGAGGTCCCGCGAGGTTTCCGCGAGGTTCCCCCCCCCGAGGTCCCGCGAGATTCCGTGAGTTTTCCGCGAGGCTCCCCCCCCCCCCAGGTCCCGCGAGGTCCCGCGAGGTTCCCATCGAGGTCCCCCCCCCCCCGAGGTTCCCGCGAGTTCCCCCCGAGGTCCCGCGAGTTCTCCATGAGGTTCCCCCCGAGGTCCCGCGAGGTTCCCATGAGGTTCCCCCGAGGTCCCGCGAGGTTCCCATGAGGTTCCCCCAGAGGTCCCGCGAAGTCCTGCGAGGTTCCCATGAGGTTCCCCCAGAGGTCCCGCGAGATCCCGCGAGGTTCCCATGAGGTTCCCCCCCGAGGTCCCGCGAAGTCCCGCGAGGTTCCCATGAGGTTCCCCCCGAGGTCCCGCGAGGTTCCCATGAGGTTCCCCCCGAGGTCCCGCGAGGTTCCCATGAGGTTCCCCCCGAGGTCCCGCGAGGTTCCCATGAGGTTCCCCCCGAGGTCCCGCGAGGTTCCCATGAGGTTTCCCCCGAGATCCCGCGAGGTTCCCATGAGGTTCCCCCCGAGATCCCGCGAGGTTCCCATGAGGTTCCCGCGAGGTCCCGCGAGGTCCCGCGAGGTTTCCGCGAGGTTCCCCCGAAGTCCCCCGAGGTTCCCATGAGGTTTCCGCAAGGTTCCCCCAAAGTCCCCCGAGACCCCCGAGGTCCCGCGAGGTCCCGGCAGCGCGGGCAGCTCCTCCGAAGGCTCAGCACAGGCTCCTCTCGCCCGGCTCTGCCGGATCGACCCCCGCAGGTTCCCCTGGACGGCGCCGGGCTTTCTGCCGGGACCGGGCGCCCCGCGCGCCGCCCGTGGTTCCACGCGGCCCCGGTCGCACAGCGGACACCGCTGAGGTTGCTCCACCTTCACCTGTGATTCCGGCCGGAGGGAAACAGCTTCGATGGACAAGGTGACCGTTTTAATTCCACCTTTTATTTTTCAGATTTATTTTTCTGTACTGACTTCACAGAGGGGAAGGCAGAGGGAGAGACATCCACGAGCGAGAACACCCATGGCCGCCTCCTGCGCGCCCCACCTGGGCCGGGCCCCGACCGGGTCCACGACGGGCTCTGGGCGCAGGGCCGATGCCCAGCCCCGCGCACACCGGCCAGGCTGCAGCTTCTCCTTTCGGCACAAAAGGCAGGAAAGCCGGGGAGCGAACGTCAGCGCGGTCAGAGTGATGGGCCCTCCCGCCGCCCCTGGGTCAGCTGTCGCCACCTCGCTCGGCCTCTGGGGGTGACCGCCGAGTCCCTCGGTGCGGCGTGAGGCACCTGCTGGATGACCGCCTCCCAGGCGAACCTGCCACTTCTTTCAAAAGCCAACACGCCCCGGCCGGTCTGGCTCAGTGGTTAGAGCGTCGGCCTGTGGTCCAGAGAGTCCCGGGTTCGGTTCTGCTAAGGGCATGTACCTCGGTTGCAGTTTGTCCCCGGCCCTGGTTGGTCGTGCGGGTGGCAGCCACTCGATGTGTCCCTTTCACGTCGATGTTTCTCTCTCTCTCCCTCCCGCTCTATCTGAATAAAAAATGGAAAAATGTTCTCCGGTGAGGATTAAAAAAAAAGAAAAAAAGCCAACGCCGAGCGCGAGCGCAATGCAACTCGTTTCTTGTCCTGTCGATTGTCTCTCCGTGTGTCCTGCTCCCACCGACTGTTCACCATCAGACCGTAAGTCAGGTCCGATTATTTGGACGAATGATAACAGGATTCCCACCGCTCTTAATACCAAACCGATCGTTTGACATTCAAAAGCGTCTCCCCAAGAGCGTTTCCAGTCTTACCGGAGTGGGCCCTCGATAAATTTTTGCCAAATTGACTTAAATGGAATTCCCCTTAATTGAACTCCGTTAATGGCGTGTTAGGACGCACACAAGACGTGTCCAATTAAGCCTCTCAGACACCTCTCCACGCGGCAGATGTTCCCGAGCCCTGGGGAGCCCCAGGGTTCGCACACTCGCCCCGTGGGGCTGCTGTGCGGGGGCCCCTTTGTCCGGAGCCTCCGTTTCAGCCCCACTGCTGTGGCGCCTCTCAACCCCGTGGACTAATGATCCCAGCAGCCCCCATGATTAGCTCAGAATGGGGGAGGAGGGGTTCACATTCAGAGGCCGGATCTTGACTTTTCCCTCCAGGGCAGAGAGGCGAGTCAGTATTGGGCTTGAAGATTCATTTCATGTCACTCAAAGTCCCCAACATTTGAGTCGCCCCTCTGCTGGGTGGAGAGGTGTGTGGATCCAGAGGCTCGTCTGGCCCGGGGCGCCGGGGCCTGAGCCTGGTCCACCCAGTCCTACTTTCTGTCACTTGCCTGCCTGACTCGCTCAGCTTCGCTTCTGTATGACAGCTTTTCACCGAGATGCTGCCTCCTCCTTCCTCCGGGAGCGTCCCCCGCTGTGAGCTGTCCCAACAGCTCTGCGATCTAAGGGGCTTTGTGGCTCAGACTGCCAGGGGCGTGTACGACTGACTGCGGCATCAGGCAGGGTCAGAGCGCGAGCCCAGCCCCGGGGTGCCGGGGGCGGCTGGGGCAGCGCAGGAGGGGGAGACAGGAACACAGGCAGGGAGGTGGGGAGCCCTGCAGGGGCAGGGCAGGGCCGGGCAGGGCAGCATCCACTCTCTGCCATGAAGTTGGCACCCAAAGCATAGCCATGCTGCCAGGGCCCCGCTCAGGGCGGGACACGGCCTCCCTCTGCCCTGACTCCAGAGGGGTCTTCGCTGTGGGTCGCCCTGCTGAGTTGGAATTCTTAGCCACTGAGCATGCGCAGCCTCTTCTTCTGGGGGACGCGCCCGTCATGGGTGAGTCAGTCACCGAGTGTCCCACAGAGCCTCCGAGGCCGGGCTTTCTCGCTCTGGTGGAATCTTCCCAACAGCCTCTGGGGGGTTTTCTCCTGTTTGCAGAGGGGTGACCCAGCATCTCAGGTCTCAACTGGACAGCAAATCTGAGGTTGGACCCAGGTATTTAAAAATACTTCTAAATGGTTCACTGAGTGCTCGCTTTGGCAGCACATATACTAAAATCGGAACAAGACAGGACAGGTCAGCAGGGCCCCTGTGCAAGGATGACACGCAGATTGTTGAAGCTTCCATGTTTTTAAGAGAACCCAGTCTGGGAGGACATATTTGCCAATGACACATCAGATCAGGGGCTAATTTCCAAAATATGAAAGTACTCATACAACTCAACAAAAGGAAGACAATCCAATAAAAAATGGGGAGAGCACCCAGCCGGTGTGGCTCAGTGGATTCAGAGTGTCCCATGGACTGAGAGGTCCCAGTTCCATTCCCAGTCAGGGCACAGGCCCGGGTTGTGGGCTGGATCCCCAGTAGGGGGCGTGCAGGAGGCAGCCAAAGGATGTTTCTCTCACACTGATGTTTCTCTCTCTCCCTTCCCCTCTCTCTAAAAAAATCAATAAAAACATTTTTAAAAATGGGTAGAGGACTTGAATAGACTCTTCTGCAAACAGGACATACAAATGGCCTGGAGACATGAAAAAATGCTCAACATCACTAATCATCCGAGATGCAAATTAAAACGACTCTGAAGTATCACCTCACACCTGTCAGAATGGCCGCCATCAACAAATCATCAAACAACAAGTGCTGGTGAGGGTGTGGAGAAAAGGGGACTCTAGTACACTGCTGGTGGGAATGCAGACTGGTGCAGCCACTATGAAAAACAATATGGTGTTACCTCAAAACATTAAAAATTGAACTGCCATTTGACCTAGTGAACCCACTTCTAGAAATATACCCTAAGAAGCCTGAAACACTAATCAGAAAGAATATATGCACCCCTATGTTCATAGCAGCACTATTTACAATAGCTAAGATCTGGAAACAGCCCAAGTGTCCATCAGTAGACGAATGGATAAAAAAGGAGTGGTACATGTACACAATGGAGTACTATGCAGCTGTAAGGAAGCAAGATCTCTTATCCTTTGAGACGACGTGGAGGAACCAGAGAGTATTGTGCTGAGCGAAATAAGCCAATCAAACAAAGACAAATACCACATGACCTCACTTATATGTGGAATAGAATGAACAAAATAAGCTGACGATCAAAATAGATCCAGAGTCATGAAAGTAGGGAACAGACTGACAAACCTCAGAGGGAAGGGGGATGGGGGTGGGGGGTGGGAAGAGATAAAGTAAAGAACTTATTTGCATATGTGCACAACCAATCAACACAGACAATAATATGGTGAAGGCAGGAGGGGGTGGGAGTGGGGAGGAGGGTGTTAATGGGGAAAAAAGGGGAACATCTGTAATACTCTCAACAATAAAAGTAAAAAAAATTGTTGAGCATAATTATAATATTTTCTTAAAATAGTACTACAGAGCAAACCGTATTCTTAATTGAAATACTAAACCAAAAACACCTCTTGTATGAAGAGGTGTTTTTTATGAAGTCCAGTTGCTTCATAAAATCAAAGTGGGCCCATGTTTCTAACACAAGACATTTCAGAAAATTAAGTGGGAAGAATTGCATTAATCTTTGCAAATCCATCAAAATGTAGATACAGTGACACAAATATTTCAAAATATCTGTCTACTACAAATAACCTCATTTTATGTCAATCTAAAATAAATAAATAAATGTTAACTGAGGTACAATTCATACAGTATAAAAGCAACCACGCCCACGTGAGACACTCCGTGGCCTCACTGCCAAAGCAGGCACTTCCGTGGCATCCACAGGGCTGTGCAGCCACCGCCTCCAGCAAATTCCAGAACATCTCCATCGCCCAAAGTGACCCCCAACCCACCAGCAGTCTGTCCTCACCCCCACCCCGGCAGCCACTCATCACTGACTCCAATTGCCGTGGGAAAAAGACCATTGTGTTTATAACTTAAGTTCAAAGAACAAATTACCTGCAATCTTTTTTTTAAAAAAAAAAACTTCCAACTGAATTAATACGTTTAAATCTCCTTTTACCCCAGCTCCCGGCTGACACGGAAGCTGGGAGGGTGAGCAGGAGGACAGGGCAGGGAGGCCGGCACCATGGCAACCACGTGGATGAGGACCTTCCAAAGGCCAGGCTGGCGACGTGCGCTGAGCCCGAGGGGCCTCAGGCCAGACCGCTGGGTCCCAGGAATCCTGCGCACAGTGGGCCTGTCCTGCTGATGACTAGCCAGTGCCCCGTCGTTCCAGACCTGCCCTTAGCAACGGACCTGCCCGGGCAGGCCTCCCCCTCACAACCACCTGGAGACAGCAGGTGCAGCGGTCATCACCCATCCTCAGGTGAGGACTCAAGACCAGGAAGGCTCGAATTTGAGGACTCTGGATGGAGATCACAGGTGGAGGAGCCTCGTTGGGTCCAGCGTGGGGAACGGAGGTGGGACCAGCTAAGAGGTAGCGCCCCTGTCCCGTAAGGAGGGCGTCTGGGTGCCGGTCGGGTTCAGGGCCTTCAGAAGACACACCTGAGGCCTTCCTGAACCGCCCAAGGACAGGCTCCCCAGCTGCCCCAGCGAGCGAAGTCCTGGCGATTCTGCCTGCTGCCCTTTGGCAGCCGAACAGGTTTCGTCCACTAGAATTCCAGAGAGCCTTTCAGCAAAGTGGAAAAGGCACCCGCGTGTGATACGGCGGATGTTACTTTCTGGCCACCACTCGGCGAGTCTGGGTTCCTGGTCTCAGAAACAGACCCAGAGACGTGGACGTAGGGAACAGACTGGCAAACCTCAGAGGGAAGGGGGACGGGGGTGGAGTGGGAAGAGATACACCAAAGTGTTCCCTATTTTTAAGGGGACCCACTCTTTGGGAGAACATATTTGCCAGTGACACATCAGATAAGGGGTTAATATCCAAAATATATTATTTTGGACCGGCTCAAGACACCCACCAGATAATCAAGTTTGAATTCAACAGCACAACCCACAGTAGTGGGCCCAGCGCCTCCTGAAACACCCGGACCAGGGGAAGTGGACTCAGCTGGAAGGGTCCTCGGGAGACAGGAAGTTGGCTTTCCCTTGTTTTTTGTGGTGTTTTTTATCCTCACCTGAGGACATTTTTGCATTTATCTTCAGATAGAGCAGGAGGGAGGGGGAGAGAAACATCGATGTGAGACAGACACATTGACTGGCTGCTACGCACATGACCCAACCGGGGCTGGGACAAACCGCAATTGAGGTGCGTGCCCTTAGCGGGAGCTGAACCCGGGACTCTCTGGTCCGTGGGCCGACGCTCTAAATGCTGAGCCAAACCGGCCAGGGCTCCCCTCGGTTTTGAGAGAAAACTTTCCAAAGCTCTGGGCCCTGGTTGCTGCTGCTGGGGCTTCTCAGAGACCGGAGACCGGGGGGCCCTCGGGACAGCAGAGGCCTGCACCTCTCCAGGAGAGGGCGCTGCGTTTCTCTCCCATGGGAGCCTGGTTGGGACACACTTGCAGCCAAGTGGGGGCCTCTGCTGCCTGTGGTGAAGGAACCGCTCATCCTGAGCGGGAGTCTGAAGCTGCCCCCCACCTCCCCATCCCTGGTGAACCCCCAAAGCACATTCTGTGGGAGAGCCTGTGACCACTCCGCCCCCTGGGTCCCCGCCAGCAGGCGCCTCTCGGTGGCCCCGCACACCCCCTGAACTAGTGGTGACACAGCACTTCTGCAAAACACACGTGAGCATTTGGTGAGACACTTGTGTTCTGGAAAAACAGTCGTAAATGTTCCCGTCCACAAATATGTTTGAATTTAACAAGTGCTCTTCAGTGAGTTTTTTAAACAGCTTTGCTGAGATATAATTTACATGCCATGAATTCACCCACTTGAAATGCGCGGCTCAGTGGGTTTTGCAGAGAGTGTGCAGCCCCCGCCGTGTAATTGAGAAGGTTGTCACCCCTGGAAAGGAGCCCTGCTCCCCTCAGCAGTCCCCCCGCCGGCACCCCCAGCCCCCAGCAACCACCAACTGCCCTGCGTCTCCATGGAGTGGCCCCTTCTGAACGTTTCATCTCAGGGGACGAACAACATGTGTGGCCTCCTGTGGGTGTGCCTCCACGTGTCTGAGGTCCGCACACCATGCCTTCTTACTGCAGAGCGGCACCCACGGCACGGACATGCCTCGCTGTGTCCACCGGACGGTGGGCGGTTAAAGAACAGATTCTTCACGACACCGGGGAAGGCCAGGAAGGCAGACGGGCCAGGACCTCAGCCATGAGGTCTGCGGGAGAGATGGGCTCACTCCCAGCACGGCCGGTGGGGGGAAACTACAGAGGACGTGGGTCTGTGAACAGAAAATGACTAAGGGGAACATCAGGGGTGAGGGGTTCTGGCTAAAACAAACATGAGATTCTTGCTGAGGCAGCGGTGATCAGTGTCAGGGGGATGAGAAACCCCGTTAGATATGAGGGCGATTCGATGTGGGGACAGGGTTCCGGCTAAACTGACTTGTCAGGGTTTCTGCTGAGGTTGGACAATGTGAGATCAACAGGGAAGCCCGAAAGTCAAGCCCTGGCTGAGGAGCTCCGGGGAGATCGAGCAGAATTTGGCTGAGGAAAGCGTCTTTGTCGACGGGCATCTGGGTGGTTTCCAGCACGGGGCCCTTGTGATGTGCTGTGAGCCTTCTAGTGACGCTTTGCGCAGGAAGCTGTGTTTGTGTCTCTTGCACGGACACCTGGGGTGGCGTCGCTGGGTCACATGATGGCACTGCCGGCCCAGGTCACATTCCCATGGGCGCTGGGTCAGCGTCCCAGCTGCTCCACATCCTCGCCAACACTTGTGACTGTCTGTCTGTCCTGCAGCCACTCTCGTGCTTGAGAACCGTGGCTTCGACCTGTGCTTCCCTAAGGACCCACGATGCTGAGCACCTTTCACGTACTTATTGCTCGTCTCTACATCTTCTTTGGAGAAATAACTATTTAAATTCTTTGCCCATTTCGTAACGAGGGCTTTTGTCGTTTTATTAGTGAGTGATAAGAGTTCTTGATACATTCTAGACACAGTCCCCTTATCCGATACATGATTTGCAAATGTTTCTCCCCTTTTGCAGGTTCCCTTTGCCTTTCTTGAGAGAATCCTTTGAAATGAGAACGTTTTTAATGTTGGAGAAGTACAATTTATGTGTTTTTTTCTTCTGCTGCTCATTATTTTGGTGTCATATGTAATAATTCATTT